AGAAATTAAGAGCCTGTAGATAACTCTGGATGAAAAGGGTGCTAACACCTTCCCTTTTCATAACCTACCCCCCCCCCCCCTAATCTGAAAAAATCTCAAAAGGTCTTTTCTGTTCTTTTCACTCTTTCCTTTATTGGATAAAAGAAAAGTCAATGTTGACTCTTGCTACCCGCAACATTTACGATAAAACACAAAACCCAAAAGTCAGTTCTCCCACCCGTATTACATATGCCTTGAAAATAATAGAATGTTCTAGCCCAACCGCTTCATTGCCACCTCTCTAGAACAGTCCAAAATCGATGCCCCCGCTTGTAATTCGCATAATGGTTTGACATATCGACAAGATGTAACACCCTTCTAAAACCCTAAGGTTATTTAATGAATAAATTAATAAATAACTCAACACAAAGCACCAACAGGGTGTCACATCGTCATAAAAACATCTTATACAAACATCCTGCTCCGTAACACGAGTTTTCCAAAAATTATAACAAATATTTCTTCAAAATATCAAAGTATAAATTTAGACTTCACAGCAAAATTTTAGTCTCAATCATAACTTCATTTATTTCATCAAAACATCAAGACCTTTTAGTCTTATCCAAGGTTAACATCAAAATAATTTCAACAAATAACAAAACTCATGTAGTGTGTTTTTAAACAAACAACAAACTTTAAAACTCAAGCGTTCCTAAATTCCGATGTTACATATCAGAGCAAGACTCTTTTTATTCAACAGAAAACACACTAAATAACTCCAAAACTATCCTCACGCTTCTACGAGTTATTCACAATCACCTGCGTGTTACCCACGTGGAGGCAATATTCAAACAGAAAGGATGAGTAATCACACACAAATCATTACAAAAGATATATGAAATAAATATAGTAGTTACAACAACAATCATCAAGAAATCCATATATCGACATACATCACATATTATACTCACATTTTCACATCATTAATTCATTCACGACATCATTATATCCTCAATTTAACAATCATCACCAAATCATCACTTAAGTCACAACATCATCAAGACGTCATTTAATCAATAATCATGTAGCGACACAGAGTATGTAATGCAACAACATTGACTCATGCATGTGGTACTAAACTTCACTGATGAACACTGGGTCATCGCTCTCCAAAGATTCCCACCATAGGATTGAGTCCCTCTTGGAACCGGATCACATCATAATAACAGACTCAATCCACACAATAGAATTAAGGCCTTCACTGGAAAAAATTCCTAACAACACGGGTGGAACAAAATCCTAACATATGCCATAAATGTGTGATGCACATCACATTAATAATTCGACTACTACTAGTCAATTGCATCATCATCCATGTAATCATCATATAAAAATTCTTCATATATCCTGTATTCACATTAAACATGCTTATTATCAACTTCATTTAATACATCATACACACCTCATAGTACAACATACAACAGGCTCACAACAATCGACATATCATACAATCATACAGCATGTTCCATCAACACATATTCATATTAATTCATCATAGAATAATCATGAAAAAATACATCATGATACTCAATTTATTCCACATAAAACAACAACAAAACAAAAATATGCAACAATCTACTCGCCTGAGGCTCGTCCAGTGACGGGTCCTCGCTTCGCGCTCGCTCGGCGAGGCAGAGGCGCTTCACTTATTTTTCAAGAGCATGTAATTTTTCAAGTTTCTTCGCCCGGTGCTTCCAAGGAGAAATCCCATCGCATGGCGACGTAAGAAGCTCGCCCGGCAGCGGCTTCGTGACAACAACTTCTCATTGTGATTCCTGCACCAGTCCAGTCCCAATTTCATGCAATTTTCACACCAGTATAGTCTCAAATTCACCAAAATTTATCATATTATCATACAACAACAACAATAACACATTTCCATTCACATCATGGGTATCAAAATCATGGGAATTACACATCAAAATCATCACATTCATCATGTTATCATCAATCAACATAAACCACAACACACTCTTACACATGCCTAAATCCCATATTAATTATAATAATAATAAGGATCACTCCCCTTACCAAGTAATTCCTAGTAGATGATTTTTCTCTTCGCGTTTTCTACTGAAATCCTTTAGGTTCCTCAATGCCATAACTCTTTCTCCACAGCTTATTCACTAAACCTCAATCGTACAGAATGATTGCACAAAACTCCAATCTTCCTTTTTGTCACTCTTACCCCTAGGACCCTTATTATGATATTCTCATTTTATCCTCATTAATCCTCATAATATTACCACTTTGCCCCTAATATCTCTACACCCATTATCATATTTAATTAATAGAATAATTCTAAATAATTATTATTGAATCCAATTAATCCTAACTAATTATTTAAATTTTAAATAATTATAAACTAATAATTATCACCATCGCCTTAATCCAACACTTCCCCACAACATAGTATCACGAATACACCATAATGCATCATATAGATCACAATAATTCACAAATACTCACAAATAACTACTTAAATAATTAACTATGATTTTTAAGGTGTTATACAAGATGTCAACAACATTATCATCGTTGGCCTGCTCATTCTCTGGTATCTCCCCATGAGTAGGCCTAGGTGGACGTCTAGAAGTGTCTTGTGTCATATAAGGGTGTGACACATTATAGAACCATGTCATGTAACTGTCAATATAACTCTACTGAAATGTAGCCTAATGAGTCTGATACTCCACTTGTACCAGACAATTCTCAAAACCCATCAAAATATCCTTCAGATTTCTGCGGACAATACTGATAGGAGCAGCCTGGAAGGGGGACTTCAGAATGATTTATACGTACCTAAGTTATCGCATGCACTGCTCGAGAAGATACTTGCACATGATATTGGTCTCACATGCCATCCATCTAGAGTATAATAAAATATGATCAAATGGAACTTTGTCTCGGTGAGTACCGTATGACCTCCATCTTATGTCGTCATGCTGAGTCCGCTCAATATACACACGGTACAGTAAGATATGACCATTCCCTCTACTAGGGATAAACTGACAAGCAAATGGCCAATCATGAGTATACAATGGGTCATGTTTAAGCCCGTGGATGCGGTGATAGTGAACAAGGATCCATCCCTGAAAACGAATAAGAAAAAAAGTATTATTAACAAGTGTAAAAAAATATTAATTTGTAACTTAATAGTGAGATTTGGAAGTTACCGTAAATAGGGTGCTTGAGCTTGTCATCTGTTTTGTCGTCCATTTGCAACCTTCGTTCAGGTTGGAGTACAGGTAAACCAAGCACGTTGTCCGTCAATTCCACTCGTGAATAGACTCTAAGTTGATGAAATATTTTAGGTAAGTCACATCCACGTAGTTTGCACTTTTGTCCACAAACATGGAAGTGCCAACCAAAAGTAGGAATAAGCACCTCGTGACACACTCCTTATGGTAGGTAATCCATAATCCAAACATCTAAACCCAACCAAACTCATCCAAATCATATAAACAGAATCTCCAAACTTGTACACTAACTTATTTGAGTTATCTAATGTATTAAAACTAACTCATTTAAGCAAATACATTAATCAAAAATCAAAATAAACTAGATGAGAAACTTACTCAAAAATGTGTTAGTGAGGATGTAAAGTGCTCTGATGTTGAATGCAATAGGTAGAATGAGTTGAGAATGGTAAGAAACAAGTAAATGTAGCTTCAAAACTTGATCTTGAGTGGAAACTTGAAATGAGTAGAATGAGGTAGAGAGAAAGTTGATTTTCTGAAAATGAAGGAGAAGTGGGAGGGCCTAGCGCGAGTAATTAAATATGTTCACCGAGTTCGAAGATACATTTCTGAACTATTTTTTTAATTAAAAAAAATGTATTTAGAGATGCATCTCCGAACACACCTTTAAATTGACTTCGATTGTGTATTTCCAAATTTTATTTTCGAAAAAATAAAATTTAGTGCGTCCGGAGATGCTTCTCTAAAAACAGATAACATTTCAAAAATTCTGCGCAAAACTTGAAAGAATGTATAAAGATATAATGAAAAACCGCCTCATATGAAATAAAAACATATTTCTCATTCTTCATGTTTTTTATTTCTTTTATAATTTAAAATTGGTCATTTAAGTATTAATAAAAAGTCCAACATCTAAGTATTAATAAAAAAAATCCAATGTATAAACATCTTGATACATATAAGACCAACTGCCTCAGAAAAATAATACTTATAGGACCAACTTAAAGATAAGAGAGAGAAAAAATCAAAATAAAACTTGAAAGAAAAAGAAAAAGACAATCTAAAACTTTAAACTAAATTAAGAGACGTTCGCATTAGTTTGCCAAAATTTTAAATTCTTTTTTTTCAATTTCAACTAGAGCAAGTTTTTATTAAAACTTAATGGTTACGTCTACTATGGAAGTGGTAAATCACATATCCTGAACTTATCTTAAGGAAAGGTTGGCTTACATTTCAAGAAATTAAGTGAATGTCACAGTCGCAACCATATATGTAATTGTTTCAATTGAAACTTCCAGCATAAGTTACCCTTAACAATGTAATAATTTTTATCCTCAGAGTATGTATTCTAATGCTCGGTTGTTACTGTGGCAATTTAGGCAATTTACCAAGTTCAAGCACAAATTCCTTCTTATCAATATGGGACACCAATTTATTGAAGTAATAAAAACACACATTTACAGGCAGGAATTTTGGACATCGAGTTTAAAATCAGCTGACTCAAATTACATCTTTGCAAAATAATTTTACACAACCACTCTTAATGACTTGAGATTTTACAAAATTTTCTGATTGGACACTTTCATCCGAAGTTGATGATGAAGTGTCATCAATAATAGGGGAACTCAGACTTCCTCCAACTCTTTGCTGTTTCCTAAGGAGAGAGAGAATGAAAAGCTCAAAAGAATAAGATTGACTTAACAACACATTCACCAAAATTTGCAATAGCTTCTTGGTTATCAGAGGAAATATGCCAGCCCTTCACGTAATTCCCATCAGTTGGCGTGTCAAATCAACATGCAATGCATGGCCACCCTGAATATAGCATCAATTGCATTAAAAATCATACGCGTCTCAGGTCGCACAAGATTCATCATCAACACTTGTGACACGTAAAAAACCAATCTGATAAATCAAAATATATAATATGAGGAAGAGACTGAAAGGTACAGACTTTGTAAGCTACTATGTGTGCCACAGGGAGTCCTTGATTACCAAACTGAGCAAAGAGCGAGAGATCGCCAATTAGATCTAAAATCTTGTGACGACATGGTTCATCACTGAAACGAAGAGGTGGATTCAACCAACCTTTACTAATACTGCAAAAGAAAAATAGAGCAGAATTCATTGGATTGGAAATAGAAATGAAGGTCTATTTGAATGGTAACAGATCCGCTGTATACTATAGTTACTACACTGAGAAGGAAAAAAACAGAAAGCCAATAGAAATGAACCCATACAATTTTAAAAGTGACTTGTCTTTTCCAAATCCTAACTAACTCTAGCCCAACTCTTCTCTCTATCCTTTGCCACTCTTACACTACCAATCCCCTCCAACATACAGAACCAAGACCACTAATAGAAAAATCTCAACTGTTTATTGATCTTGTCCGTTGAGATATAACTACAACAACCAAATCTTATCCTACTAAGTAGGGTCGGCTACATGGATCAAACTATGCCATAATATTCTATCAAACACCATGTTTCTATCCAGCTCATTAATCTCAACACCTTTCCTAATTTCTCTTATGGTTTTTCTAAGTCTTCTCCTACCTCTTGTTGTTTGACTACCCACCATCTGATCTACTCTCCTTAGTCCTTACTACATATTCCACATGTCCACTCTTTGCATGCCCAAACCACCTAAGTGTATGTTTGGAAAACTTTAAAATCACTGAAGCACAAAAGCTACACTTACCTGCTTCTCAAAACTACGTTGAAATAGGCAACAAACGTGCGGCATCGGTGGCCCACTGAGTTGCCAAACATAGGTTAGCCTAATTTCCACCATCTTTTTTATTATAGGTGTTATCCCAACACTCTCTAATATTGTAATTTCTAAACCGATCTTATTCTTTGAGATAAGGGTATAATTTTATTAGGAGTCTTGCAAAAGACTCAACCGTGTCTTACATGAGAAATTAAATGCCTGTGAAAACTATGGAATGGTAACCAAGTTATAATAAATATCATAAACAAATAGTGTGATACTTCGAAGAAATACTGAACCACATTAAGGATCTAGCACTTAGATTTATGGTCCTAATTTCATGGACCTAAGCTCCGAAATGTGTGCTTTACGTAAATGTGCATAACTACATGCATGAAATTTTGGGAAAACTCTAAGGAATCATTTTTGCGGCATAAACTATGCTTCAGAATTTAGTATAAACTATTAAAATTGATCACCCGCTATTAAAAAGGAGAGCATTAGGAGTGGTTACAGTACAAACTTGTAATAAAGCAAATACCTGCACACAATGGCATTTTCTAGAGAACCCCCTTTGATAAGTCCAGCACTGCGCATTTGCTCAACCTGCAAGATATTTTGAAGCAGGGTATCCAGTGTTAGGTGCATGGTATCAAACATGTACAATTAAGCTAATAGATTCAACAGGTAAGAAAAGAGGAAAACGATTAACGGTCAACCATCCAATTTAGTGAAATAAAGCGAGGTTTTTGGAATCTGGTTAAACTTACAGCCTAACACATACATGTGACATCTAAAATAATAAATAGTTTTGCACTAAATAACACATGGCAACAGAAACAAGCTAATAACCTAAACTACAAAAGGATGAACTTCATAACAAACCTCCTCATAGATGCAGAAAGTTCTTGAAAATGCTATTTGCATTGAATAAACCAAATCATCCAAGGGGGTTGTAGAAAACCACTGGCAGCCAATAGCAGGTGCCTGCAGCCCATTATTCATCGTCAGACATTTAAATGGTTCAAATCTTATAAGTTGTCACCTAGCTATAAAAACCTTTTTGAATGCAAAAATTTAGCTGCTTTGTTCTTTAGTATTCTTTCGGAACAAGTTAAAAGTTCTGATTCTCATGCAAGGGTAATCTTGATCGGGAACAGTGTAGTCAAGATCGAGTCCTGGATCTTAAGATCTTACTATCTTACGTGCTGAAATTGCCTTTTAGTGCTACGGTATGAGAAAAAACTTTTTTCGTGCACTTTGTGGTCAAGATCGAGTGTAGGGTCTTAAGATCTTACGTGCTGAAGTTGCCTTTTATATGACTATCATGATATGGGAATACATAATATCTTAGACAATTAGACTTGTATGTTAGATTTATGTTTTTTGAGCTACTTATTTTGAACAAAGTATTTTGAACTTGTTAAATTATGGAATGATGATTATGACTTATTAATTAAATTGGTTGAATTTTGTGATTTATAGGTTATTTTGTCCTTGTATTATAATTTTCATGTTTTTGTGTGTGTATATATATGTCAAATGACCATTTTGCCCTTCGGTAAAATCTTAAGTACCGAGCTAGGATCCTACTTAAGATCCCGTGTTTGACTACCTTGATGTGGAATCAACTTATCATATTCTATTGCATTATCAATCCTAAGGAAAAATTGTTACTGCGGCTAGTTTTTATTTAAAAAATGCCCAAAACTAAAAAAAATTGATATGTTCTTGGAAAGACTTACAATGGGAAAGATTTTTAAAAAATTGTAATGGTTATTAGTCCAAAAAATAAAGCTTCAAACTGCTATACATACTTTAATATACCACATTTGGTTTTCACTTTCCTTTTTATTCTCCTTGGTAGCTTTAACTGAGAATTAGTTTTTGCAATAATAGAATGGCATCTTATAGTTTATGTGGCTAATCCCACCTAGTTGGAAAAGGTTTTAGTTTTTGTTCTTGTTGTTGGAAGCTTAAAGGTTGACACGTTGAAATACAAAATGTGTATTGTGGTTGCGTCTCCTCATTGCTTCTGTGTGCCGCATACTAGTTACTGGCGGATAAATGAAAAATGCAGGAAAGCAGAAGCATGTCCAATAAGAAACAGGGAAAGAAAAAGATGAAGATTTCCTCAACTAAAAAGGACTGAGAATAGCAGCTTGTGGTTGTGGTCTATTTCTCATGAAGAATAAGTATTAAGTACAATCTCTTTTGAAAGACGTGTAAAATATATTATTTCAATCTTAGAAATTAGGTAGCACATGAAAGTACATGGAAATCTTTTTATTTATAAATGTCCAGTCAGGATAGTGTATATTAGAAAACAGAAAGTATATGGAAATCTTTTAATGGCATATGCTTTGAAAAATCTCGATGAATATTCTCAATCCAATAGTATTGTTTACCTGTGGAAAGTTTATGCCATAAGTTACTCGAACCACTTCAGATGGAAATGCAGCAATAAAAGAATCGTTCCTCCAAACATGCACTGGTTCATTCACATGTGGAGCAGTTTTCTCACAGCTTTTTCCATCAATATCAGTTGCCGTCTCTAAACCAACTTCTTCCAAGGCTTCCACCCATTCCCTTGCCGACCCATCAAATATAGGAATCTGCAAGAGAAATTAAGGAAAACAACACTATTACTTCCAAGAACAAAACGTAGGGGACGAAGAGAAAGGGAGAGATTTTAATTATAGATTATTTTCTTTCCACAAAAATTGCAAATCCCATCTTTACCATTGCAGCGAGCCCAAAAACCGATAACATGGCCATTAATTGTTTCTAACAAATGCTTAGAAAGAGTTTACTTAAAATACCTCTTATGATATTTGCACCAACAGAATCAAGCAAAAGCAATAAATTCACATAGAATTATCTTTTTACCTCGGCCTCATTATCTTGGTCATCCAAATTCTCAATCTCAATCCTACAATTATCAACACCAGCACCTTCCAAAGCGGAAAGCAAATGCTCCACAGTCCGAATCCTCACCCCACCTTTACACAAAGTAGTACAAAGAGGCGAAACCTGAGCAAATTCAACCGAAGCAGGAACTGAATTGGAACGAAAATCGAAGTACCTTCCTTGACCTGCCAATCCAGGACACAGTCTCACCGTCGAAGCCTTTCCGGAATGCAGACAGATTCCCTTCCGCTCCACAGATCCTGCTAGGGTTTGTTGAAGCTTCCCGGTCTGCACAGAAAGAGCACGATAATAGGGTTATGTTTGGTTTCAAAGAAATGATTCGAAGTAGGAGTGTTTAGTGGATAGTTGAAATTTGAAATGAACCAAACAGAGGATAAGAGAGAGAGTGAGTGAGTTCGAACGGGCTTCCAGGTGATGAGTTTGGATGATCGGAGAGCGCTGAGAACAGCCATTGCATTTGCAGGCAGTAAGGGGAGTGTGCAAGAGTCCTTATTTAAGGTTTTTCTCATTTTTAAAATTTTGAAGGATTAAACTCACCTATATATTTATTTTCTCATGTAAATTTAATAAAATTTTAATGAAAAATATAATAACTAATTGGAAATTGATTTTTTTTTTAATTCACATAGGAAAATATTTATAGATAATTTTAATGCATAATTGATGAAAAAAATTAGTGATGGTTAATGGTAGGAGTGAGAATATGTCAGACCAACTAAAAAGGGCCTACGACCTATCCTACACAAGTTCAGATTCAGGTTAGGTCAGACTTTAAGGGATTTCTTATCCCACCCTATGTACTTAAAAAAAAACCTATGAACATCCAATTTTTCCTTTGCATTCTTGAAAATGTATTTCCGAGATGTACCTTTTTTGTTAAACATAAATTATTTCCAGAGATGCATATACGGGAAGGAATTGGAGTTATATTTCCGAAAATTATGCAGACAGTAGCAGTAAAAGCTAAAATGGAATTGTTTCACATTGTTTCACATGTTGGAAACTGATCTGACCTGATCAGAAGGTTTGGACCGTCACGGCTTACTCCGAGCTGAAGGCTTTTTGAACGAGGAGGGGGGGGGTACCTGCAAGGCACTCCGATGCTAAAGTCAGTGGGAGTACGAGCAGATAATAGAGTTGAGGTTAGAATGATCCATACCTGACCCTCTGGAAGCAGAGGGTATTTATAGCCCCCAGCGCTGGGCCAAGGTTCCTTCATTGGGCCGGGCGAATTTGGCCCAATGGAGGAACTGCCAGGTTCTACGTGGGTAGTGGGGACCAGCACGTGGTCCCCTTCCTGGATATGCTGCATGAAGTGCGGGCGGACGGAGACGCGGTCTTTCCGGAGTATCGTTGGGGCAATGGAGGACTAAGTCTGCCCTAGCAAGTCAGCTCGAGACCATGTCGAGCTACGCGACACGGTGCCGAGCTCGACGCCAAGACCTCGAGCTGGACGGCGGGTGTCGAGCTGGAAGCCAGGACATAGAGCTGGACGGCATGCTGTCGAGCGGGACTTCATCGTGGGGCTAGACACCGAGATGTCGAGGTGGACATCAGGGTGTCGGGCATGGACGTGACCCCCTTTGACCAGTGTGGTCCTTCGTGAGTCCCTTTGGACTGGGCCTTAGTAATGCTTTTGGGCCTGTCGGGCCCAGTCCAGAACAGGAGCCCCCCAAGTCGTGGTTCCTTTGCGAGGAGCCATGACTTGAAACAGTTGTTCCGTCGCTGAGGTCTCGTGCCCGGGATGGAGGCGTGGACCCTCGAGGGGTCTCCTCGTGCCGTGCTCGGAGACGTCGTCGGTGGTGGATGCGTGGAGGATCCGTACCGGGCGCGTCAGTCGAGCACACGAGGCATCTTTCGGGAGTTGTGCCGCCACCCTAGGGGGTAGGGCCATCATTGCGTTGGGTGCGGTGCGTCGAGGAGATGGAGTCCGTGGCTGAACGAGGTGACGTTTGGTATTCCACGTCATCACTATAAATAGGGTCCTTGGGCCCCATAATACGTTTTCCGTTCTCCGTGCTCTCTTCGTTGCAACTCTCAACACTCTCTCCAATCGTGACTTCCCGTCTCAGATTCTTCATTTCTTAGCCAAATCCCAACTTTGATCCAAGTAAGTGATCCATTTTCTTTATTTTCCTGTTTTAGAATGCATGATTCTTGGAGATTGTAGATGTTTTAGGACCGTTAATGTGGGGTTAGCCCGGTAAACTCGTGTTTTGCCCGACAGATTCATGTCTAGGGCCGGCAAACGCATACTTGTGGCCGACACATTCATAGTTTTAGGTGAAAAACTTCAGAGCTGCCCGGGGTCTTCATGATCCTGGGCGCCTGATTCATGACGGTGCCCGGTATGTTTATGGTTGTGGCCGTGGGCTTCACAATGCGGCTCGCCATGTTCATACCTCGGATCGACATGCTTGAAGAGTGGCCGTGCAGTCGGTTTGTGGAAGAACACTGGATTCAGGAGAGTCGGGGAGGCATCCACTTGTGAAAATGGACTTGCGTGGTAGTGTATGGACGACATGATTATGTCGAGCATAGGACTTCATGCTCAATCTGATTGGTTTCCCGTGCTCTGCAGGTAACCATGGCGGATGAGCCGAGCTCCTCCGGTCATCGTGACAGCGAAGAACAGAGTGCCGACGAGTCGGCCAACCTTATAGACACCGTGACCGACCCATCGCTGGAATGGGTGGGCGCCGAGCCTCGGGGGACGGCGTCGATATACAGTCGGGATGACCGACATCCATTCACCGCTATTGAAGAGGGGCAGGACCAGCCCGACTTTCAGCCGAACTTCGAGGTCATGCTGCCGTCGACCAACGTCAGAATTTGTTCGATGTACCCGGTTCCATGAAGTCCAAGTCCCTCCCGGGGCAGATGCCACGACTCAGGCACTGTTCGCGGCCATCAACCAGACGAACTATCTCCTGTTCGCCCAGGGAGAAAGGCTAAGGGCACTTGAAAATGATCGACGCCCCCCGAGGAGACATCAAAGGCCACCATCTCCACCTCCTCGGGTCGAAGAAGTTCGACACCCTACTCCCCCGCGGAGACATTACAGGGAGAACTCTAGGAGCCCCTCTCCCCCACCAAGGCAGAGGCGGCCCCAGTATGAAAGACAGCCCGTCATCCCTGCCGAAGAGCCCAGTCGCGACCCATCAAGGCACGACAGGAGGCACAACAGAGACGGGCGTGTGACCTTCACCCACCGAGCATCACGCTCGAGGGAATCTCAGCACGACCAGCGTGCCAGACATCACTACAGGACCCCTTCTCTTTCTCCAGAAAGGAGCGACGAGGACGACCCCCGCGGTCCCCTGTCGCAGGCCATCATGGACGCACCCATCCCCCCGGGCATGGAGAAGCCTCCACACCTAAAGGAGTATGATGGAGTGGCGGACCCAGTCGACCATATTGACGGGTTCGAAGCCATGCTCCATTATCACAATGTCGGGGGGCCAATCAAGTGCCGTCTCTTCCCAACAACTCTCAGGAAGGCGGCCATGGATTGGTACAAAGGACTTGCCCCGGGCTCCATCACCTCATGGAGGAACTTGAAGAACCAGTTCATCAGTTCCTTCACGGCATCTCGTCGCCACCCGAAGACCGAGGCAGCCCTCGAGGCCATCATCCAAAGACATGATGAGACCTTGAGGGAATTCATCAACCGCTTCAACCGGGAAGCAATCCAGGTCCCCTGCGCGGACCACATGAAGAGGTACTTGCTGGAGAGGGGCCTCCTCCCCGGCACAGAATTCAGGAAAGCTGTGGGCATTGAGCCACCTGCAACTTTCGATGCTCTCCTCGACAAAGCCCGAGCGTACATGGACTACGAGGAGAGAGAAGCTGCCAACAGGGCACGAGACTCCAGGGCTCGCAATCATGGCAGCAGCTCGAGACAAGACCCTCCTCCCCGGCGCACCGGAGAGAAGAGGAAGGAAGACAGACCCCGGGAGGTCCGCGAACAAAGGGGCCCCTCGGGCAGGTTTACTGAGTACACTCCGCTCACGGCTTCCCGCGAGCGTATTCTGGCGGAGTGTGCAAGCACAGATTTTAAAGACGGTGGCGTCAAGCGTCCCCGACCAGCTCCTGCCAAGCCAGGAGTAGACAAAAACAAGTACTGTCAGTACCATAGGAGTCATGGTCACTTGACAGAGGACTGCGTCCACCTGAAGGATGCTATTGAAACCCTCATCAAAGGAGGGAGACTTACACAGTACAGGCGAAACGACGCTCCCCGTCGTGAAGCCCGCGAGGCAAAGGAGCCCGAAGAAGATGCCCGACCATCTGACGAGTCGGTGCCAATCCAGACCGCCTTCTCGGTAACCAGGCCCGAGGATTTCGAACTTCCCGAGCTCCTGCAGGAGCCCCTGACGACACACAGCAGGTGGGAATACTTCCCCTCCGCCATGGTCATCAACGGGGGCGGGTTCAACGACCTCACCATCAACTCAGCCAAGAGGAAGTTGGACGAACTGGTCGACAAAGCTCCTCCTCAAACTGTGACTTTTGAAATGGTGAGGGGCAGATCAGAGCCTATCACCTTCTACTTGGAAGAGCTCCCCGGCGGAGCACCGAACGCAGTCATCCCCTTGCTGATAAGGGCAAAGATGGCCAATTTTGACGTGCATCGCATCCTGGTCGACGAAGGGAGTTCCGTCGACGTGATGTACACTCAGTTGTTCCGGACCTTACAACTGGATGACTCACATCTGTCTCCATATATAGGTTCGGACCTCCAAGGCTTCAACGGCTCGACGTCCAAACCTTGGGGATATGTCGAGCTCCTAGTGACGTTCGGGGAAGGAACTGCCACAAGACAGGTGAAGGTCCGTTTCCTCGTCATTGACTGCCCATCCCTGTACAATTGCATCTTGGGGAGGCCGACATTAGCAGAGCTGACAGCGGTTCCCTCAACTGTCCACCTCAAAATGAAGTTCTACACCAAACGGGCAAGGGTAGCCACCATCCAGGGCGACCTCGCTGCTGCCCGCAGGTGCTTCAACGCCGCTTCAAGGGGTCGGGATACTGTCGACGTGGGTCCCAGCACTAGGCCCATCAAGAAGACAAAGCAAGAGCCCGACAGAGCATCTCCTGAGGTAGAAGTTCAGAAGGCTCCACCAAAGGTCGACTCCATTGCGCTCGACGCCCGTTTTGACCAAGACGAGCCGGCCAGCAGCGAGCAAATCCCCCTCCGACCCATTCCGGACGGCGATTTCGAACTCGTTCCCCTCGGAGCAGACCCGACCAAGGGAGTGAAGATTGGCAAGGACCTCCCCGACTTGGCCAGGAAGCAAATCAAGGCCTGTCTGCGCGAGAATGCTGATCTCTTCGCCTGGAGCGCTGCAGAGATGCCCGGACTCGACCCTGAGGTCGCCTGTCATCACCTCGCCATTGATCCAGCCGCCAAGGCAGTAGTACAACGTAGGCGTAGGCAGTCTCCAGAAAAAACGGAGGCTGCTGAAAAAGCTGTAAAAGACCTCCTAGAGGCAAATTTTATTTCCGA